GCGAGCGCTGGGGAGCGGCCACAAATCCAGATGAAGTTTCGCGGGCTCGCTGGCTGCGCACCTCCTGCTGTGGTCCAGGGGGTTAGAGGACACTGATCTAGAGCGTCTGAGGCAAGTGGTTTATCCATGAACTCAATGTCCTGGCTATGCCGATGACCCTCGGCTTGGACACTGCCCACTGGGGACTGAATGAGGGCTCTTAGGGTTGCCCCTCTTCCTAGTGGCCAGGACAAAAGTGAGGGCAGTGGGAAGTGAGACTTGGCACTGGGTGTGGGTGTGGGGAGGCAGGAGGCTCACTCCTTGGCAGACATTGGATCAGGAAGTCTTTGAGAAAACAGAGGTCCCCTTGTTTTTGCTGAAAGGGTAATTGCGGAAGGTCAGCTCCATTTCATGTCCCTGGAACCTAAATGGCCTCTGGTGAGGGTTGATATTCAGTGTGGAGTCCAAGTGCCCACAGAGCTGGCCTAGAACCATTCCGTTGACTAAGATCCAAGGGAAGAGAAGGAGGGCCTGGTGGGTGCTGGTTCTGGCCTCTGGCTGGGCAGGGCCACTGCTTACACCTGGGCCTCAGAGGCCTTGGCTACCATCTTTGTTTCTTTCTGTTCCCCATGCAAACCCAGGTCAGCTACATCAGAAATCTGTACAGAACCTCTTGATTTGCTCATTGGGCCCCCTCACCCTTTCACATTAATCTTTCATTTCCTGCTGTACCTGCAAGTTCTCCCCCGTCCTCAGCTGTCCATAATCATGACACAGCCCTGGGGTGGCTCCAGGTCAGTGGCCGAAGACCTTGATGGCATGGGTGCTGTTATGGTTGAGGGAGTTATGGTGAGGGGAAGTTGGGAGAGACGTCCCAGAGAGCTTGGCGGGGGTATGGGAAGTGGTCCCTGGGCTGGGCAGGAGCAGCAAGCTTAGAGCTTCGGAGGAGGGACAGCCTGAGGAAGGGGTGGGAGGGGAGGAGCAGGCCATAGCCAGGGACAGCCCCCACCCTCGTCTTCACCCTCAGCCACATCAGGGATGCAGTCCTCTTACTGACTTTTGGGTATTTAAGCCAAGACCAGATGGGATTTTTGTCTCTTAAGAGATAAAATTTGGGTGGGGAAAAGGGACCAATGCAGACAGGCCTGTGCTCTCTCTTGGGATCCTGGGGCTTGCAATGGCTTCTGGCTAGGATGGCCTTTGTGCTTTAGGACTGAGAGATTTCCTGCTTCTGCCCGACCTACCTTTCTACCACACAAGTCTGGGCACGTGGGATGAGGAGAGAGGGGGACAGCGAGGAGGGTTACACGGATATACTTTGCCACTCCTGCCTCCTCTTGGGCCCCCTCCCAGGACGTGGAGCCCGAGTCCTTGGGCAGCACGTGGGCCTCTGCTTCAGAGGGCACGCACCTGGTCCTGTCCTCCTGTTGGCCAGTTTCTTCTGAGCAGAGGGACCTGGATTGATCTCAAGGATCACTTGGCGTTTAGGCTAGAAGGTTGTTGGTAACCAGGGCCTCTGGGCCTGGCATGGGGCTGGCTTAGAAGGGTGAAGTTATTCCATCTCACATGGGAATAAACATCTTGAATTCCTGATCGTCTCCCTGGGGTCTAAGACTCTGGTCAAATAAATCAAAGTCAGTCCTGAGACCCACAGCTTTGTGTGCCCCTGGAAAGACGGTGGTGAAAACCACCTTGGGACCCACCCAGCCATCTCTGGCTATTGCTTTCTCCCTTTTCTTCTTCACTCATTTGTTGGTGTCCTTGTTCACCGTCATGGCCATCTGAGGATGAGTGGAACAGCCTGATTTAAATGAGGGTACGGGTCTTGTCAGGGTGAGTCTGCGGGTTGGGAATTGGTGTGCGTGCATGCATGCGTGGGTGCATCGGTGCGTGCGTGCGTGTGTATGTGTGTCTAGTGGGGAGTGGAATATCTCAGAAGGTGGCAGAGGAGGGAGGAAGGAACTTGGAGCTCTGGCTCCCACTGCGGTGAGCAGCGCCCCCTACTGCCCACAGGGGAAACAGCAGCCAGAGCTCTTCACAGTCTCTTGCAGATGCCTCTGCACAGTCTCTTCCAGGCTCCCACTCCCTTGCAGATGCTTTTGAAGCTGCTTAGTCCTTTTCCTCTGGTTGCTTGTGTTCCTTTGGGGGTCTTCGGGCCTCTTGCTGGACTCTGGCTCCTGGACGGGTGGTGTGGTGTGGATGCTCATGTCCACAGGAGTTTTGGGAAATCGAGGCTGCTTTCACTTGGGGGGTGGTGTGGTGTGGATGCTCCTGCAGTGTGGGTGGTGTGCATGCTCATGTCCGCAGGAGTTTTGGGAAATCGAGGCTGCTTTCACTTGGGCCTGACAGTAACCATGGAGACTTCCAAGCTTTTGGATCAGGGCCTCTAGTAAAACTCCAGTGAGGGGCACTGAACTGACATGAATGACACAGAGGACAGTCTTGTGGAGAGAGGCTTAGACATGCACTGTGAACTCAGAGTGTCTAAGACACTGTGTTCACCTGATGACTTAGGCAATGTGTGAATACACATGGAGCACTGTCCTTCAGCTTCTCTGTACCTTGCAAAGGGACAAGTAGGACCCAACCCTCAGAGCTTCTCCTGGGCAGCTTTGCTGAGAGGACGACTTCCTACTCACAATCTGCTGGGGTCATTTGCAGAGAGGCTGGGTAGGGAGTAAGCTATTCAGTTCCACTCTGAGTTCTTTTCCTGTTCTTTCCCAATACATTCTAGGGTGTGTGGTAGGGGCAGAGTTGCGAGCTTAGTTCTTCTTGGCCAAAGAACCAGTGACTGTCCTGAATGTGTAGGGGGCCTAGCTATTACAGAAAGAGGGGGTGGGAGTGTTTATCTAATGAGCACAGGCCAGGGACTTTCCAGCAATCCCCACTCCCTACCCCACGCAGGCTCCATCCCCACCCCACACTGAGTCCTCTTGTGCCACAGGACTTTTATTCTGAAAGAACCAAGGCCGCTGGAGGTAGGGAGGTGCCAGAGGGAAGAGCTGGCCCTGACCTGACCAGGAGCAGGCCTTATCCTTCTGGGCGGTTTTTCCAGGGCAGTGATTCGGGACCCTAAGGGAGAGGCCTTTGTCCTCGGTTCTCCCTTTTATCCTTTGTCCCCAGCCTTGCTGGCCTTTAAGCAGAGGGTCCCTATAGCCAGGCCCGTTGGTGTTCTCCCCACTGTTGCCTTCACACCCCCATGGTGCTCATCTTTCTAGCCCTTGACCTTGTATCCGCCATTGGCTTCCCTTTTCTGGTCTTCTTGCTGCCTGTCCTTCTCAAAGCAGATATGGAGGCCAGGCCACTATTTAAAATCTTCCCATTCTCCCCAGTACTGGAAGTAGGGCTCACCCAGTCCCCCACGTCTTCCCCAACATGTGAATGAAAGTTTAAGATAGCCAGGATGCATTCAGAGGTTGGTAAGCTGAACTCTGTGTGGGTGGGGCTGTGCCTTGGGCCTGGTTCTGTTGAGCATTTGAGGCTTTCTCTAGAAAAAGGACAAGGAAATGGACAAAAAGACTCTCCCAGTAGCTCCTGTTTACATTCTTGAACCCCAGTCAGAGTTTTCCAAAAGGTCCGCCAGGATAGAATTTTCATTAACTCTCAAATACTCAAAGCTTAGTTTTTTCTTAGATGGAAAATGAGAGGCCAAATGAACTAAAGAGAGTTGAGACTGGTTATTCTCAAGGGCCTTTTCCCCTCTGCTGTTTCTTTTATCTTGGAGGCCAGACCTTGAACTGGATATGTGGTCACTATTGGGCAGTGGAGTGTGATAAAGAAAGAACTTTGGCCTTGGGGGCTGTAAGTTATAGATTAACATGGGGTACGTTCAGGAGAGACCCAGAGGGAGGTTAAGTGGGCTGAGAAAGGAGCTGCTGATCTGGGACAATCTGGGTTTGAAGGGGCACAAGCAAGCGGAGTCTGGGGACCGGCGCCATCTGGAGCAGCCCTCAGTTCCTCTCTGGCTACTTGACTTTCCTGAAGACCTGCTCACAGACTGCATCCCTCGCAGTCAGTTCCTGGGGATAGAGTAGGAACGATGAGGAGAAAGAAGGTTCTTGCCAGCTGGAGCTCCTTTCATAAGGTCCCTGACTTCCATTTACGCCTTTAGGAAACATCGACTAGAGCATTTGATATATGGGGAATTGTATCATTGTTCCAGACCCTCAACTTTTCACCCCAGAGGAAGGAAGGTAGCCAGGTCAGGGAATGTGAGATGGCGGAGTCTCCATCTCTCCAGTTATGATTTATGGACATTCACTTGACTTCTAGCCAGGACCCACCGTAGCCACTCTATTTCTTCCTCTTTCCACTCCTCCTTGTGCGTTTGTTTCCCTTCCTTGGTTGCCTTCCTTGGAGAGGGGGCAGGCAGTAGAGTAGTAGACTTATCTGATTTGGGCAAAGGAGCGAATCCTAGCTGGAGGCCCCTCTTCCAAACGTGCTCACTTGGGTCCCCTTACCCAACCCTCACCCAGCTTACCAGGTACAAGTTCTCTCCCTCCAGCCAGTGCTTCCAGCCTCGGTTGGGCACCTCTCCTTTTTGCACGCAGACCAGCTGCTCCTCCTCCCAGGTGACTATGGTCTAAAGGGAGGGCAAGAGTAAAGGGAGACTGGGGGGCAGGATCCCCAAAATGCACCCAGCTCATTTTGGCTTGGCTGTCCCCTTTCACACCACACTGTCTTGCTCCAGCTGCTTCATCCTGAGTGAGAAAGCTGCTCTGATTTAGCAGGACTCCCCTCCCCTACTCCTAAAGGCCGCTGAGGGGGACCCACAGTTTGTTTACAGTGGGGCAGAGCAGGGATGGAGCAGGATAACCGGGGTGAGACCGGGAAGTGAGCGACCAAGAACAGAGACTTTATCCTCTGAATACTTTTGGAGGAGCCTCTGGGAAAGAAGAGAGATTGTTTGGGAGTCTCACCAGGAAATCTCTTTCCTCCTGTTTCTCAGTTTCAAGAACAGCTGAAGTGTTCCAGAGAATGAAGGATCAAGCCCCCTGACCCAGAACTGGGCAGGCCTGGCCATTGCAATCAATATTTATTGAGGCCTCACACAGAATAGGTCCTGCGAAACAAGGAGCTCAGAATCTTGATCACACAGAACAGTAAATAGATATCTATGACACCAGGCACGACTGTGGGGGATGGGAGTGAGAAGAGCCAGTGTTCAACAGAAGGGAGGAGTTAATCGGATTGTAGATAATGGGAAATTTCTAGCAAGGAAAGAAACAGCATAGAGGTAAGAAAGAAGAGCAAATAATTCTGAGGGGCCCTAACCTAGTGTGTATGTGGGAAAGACCCTGGTGTGCCCTGTGAAGCACAGGGACCTTATCTTGAGTGTAGTAGATTGTCACTGAAAAGGTTTAAGTCCGGGAGAGATGTGCTCACTTTTACACGATAGATTCTTGTGGCTACACTATGCAGGATGGATTAGAGAAAGGTTAAGTCTGAAGGCTCATTTTGGGCACCAAGTGAGAAACAAAGGCCTGAATGAAGATGGTGATGGTGAGAAAGGCTCAGAAAGAACAGACGAGAGCCATGTGGAGCAGCGACGTTCAATAGAAACATAATGGGTCTTCACTGCAAGCCATGTATACAATTGAATGATTTCTAGCAGCCACATTAGAAAAGTAAAAAGCAACTGGTAAAATTAATTTTAATAAGATATTTGATTTAACTTAAGTTGTCCAAAATATTATAATTTCAGCATGTAACCACTATATAAATTTCCGAGATGTTTTACATTCTTTTTCCTTGTATTGCCTTAAAAAATCTAGTGTATATTTTACACTTACTACAGACTAGTTACACATTGGATTAGTTACCTTTCAAGTGTTCAGTAGCTATATATGGCTAGTGGCTAATATACTGGGCAATACAGAAAAGTTATAATGACTTCTTGACCAATTAGATATGGTATACTCATTCATGCATGCATGGTGCGCACGTGCGTGTGCTCACACGCGTGCATGCACGTGAGTGTGTGTGCATGCGCCCATGTGTTGGAAGCATAGAAGTAAGGAGACATGAGATATTGACCTCGGCTCCCAGGTTTCTGGTTCTGCTGGTTATTACCGTTGATGGAGACAGTAAATACAAAAAGCAGGACTAGGTTTGAGTAGGAAGGTAATGACTGTGGGTTTGACCTTGGGGCAAGCATTTTGCAGGCAGTTGAAAACTTTACCCTGGAGCTCAGGAAGTAGCTCTGGCTGGACAGTACTGTCAAGGGCAGCCTAGAGATGGTAGCTGAAAGCGTGGGTGTATACAATTGGGCCCATGGCTGGTGTACAGACAAGAGGAAGTCAAGAACAAAATACTGGAGAAAATTCCAGTTTAAGAAATTAATAGGGGAACTAGAGTCTGCAAAGGAGAACACAAGGAACATGTAAGAAGCAGAAAGAAATGCAGGTGAGTGGGGTTACAGAGGCGAAGGGAAAAGAGCCTCTGTGGTGACCAACAGGGTTAATGGCTACAGGGTAAGCAAACGTTTGCTCAATAGCCTGAGGTTGACCCTCTTTTTGTCCTTTTGGCTGGTGATAAGAGAAGGCAAGGGAAGAGGGGAGGGCACCAGGAGTTAGGTGGTCATTTCTTCCCGATGCTTTTATTTTGTCCCCTGTTGTTAAGAGACACCTACCTGCTCATCCGCATCCCCTCCCACGAACTTGAGGAAAGGTACCTGGCATTTTCGTCCATCCACCACACTGAGGTCCTCCTCAAACTCAACTCCCACTTCGAATTCTACAACGTAGTTGCGGAAGGTGCTGAGGGTCTTCACTGTCATGTGGTTGCCCTGATGGTCAATCTCCTTGTCTGGCTTGAGCAGCAGCGCTATCTTCCGCAAAGCCATGTTGATGTCTGTGGGAGTTATCTCTTAGCACAGATCCTCTCAACCAGCCAGCCCAGGGCTCCCCCACCTGCAGCGGCACCTTGCGGCTGTGAGCTTTCCCTCATCTGGGTCTGGACTGTGGATTTACTCCCTCCTAGCAGTGCCCCTGGCTAGAGATGGATCCTAACTCAGGTGTCAGCTCCTGAGACTCTCCACACAGCCCAACCCCAGCATTCCCCCTTCTCAACGAGATGGAGAGGCAGGAAGGGAGAGGGAAAAGGGTAGTGAAAGGGGTCCGAGAGGGGTAAGGCCATTACTTAGTGCTTGCAGGTAGTCCTCCATGTTCTTCTGTGAGACAAAGCAGTAGTAGCCGGTGAGGTTGGGAGGCATCGTTCAGGCTGGCCGAGATGGAGATCAAGATTTCAGTAGACTATAGGAGACAGGGTGAAGAGGGAAGGGTGTGGTCTGGTAGGTGGGGCTGTGAGACTCCAGGCAGGTCTTCACACTCACAGAGACAGGCTTGTGTAAAGGTCTATGCTTACCAGAGTTTTTATAGCGCTGGGGCCCTGTTGCAATGAGTTTCCTACCAGCTTCCTCCCTCCCCCTGATGAGTCTGAGGTGGTGCCTGCCGCCTGAGAGAGGGGCAGGGACTTGGCAAGGTTGTGTGCTTTTCCTGAGGAAGGAACGAGGAGCAGGATCTGGGGCTGTTAGTCATTCAAGACTCGATTCTTTCTGAAGGTCAGTTTTGGCTTCCAGCCGATTTCTGGCAGGCTTGGGAATCATTCCAGAGCCCCCGAGGGGTTGTCGCTCCTCCGAGGGAGCTAGTCTTGCTGTGTGGAGTGGGGGCTCTTTCTAGCTCACTCAGGGAGGGATGAATTCTAACAATATCCTGAGGTCCCTGGACTGAATGAGGGATCCTTACAGGTATGAGAGGGAGAAGGTGGGAAAAGAAGGAGAACAGCCAGCTTCCTGGACAGAAGCCAAACTGAAGAAAATCCTATAGCACTGGTCCCCACAGTTCCTCCAGACGACTTGACTGAGCTGGGGCCCCAGCTCTGGCATTCCAGCCTTTTTGTCCTATAAGGCCGTGAGGAGAGAGGTGGCAAAGCAGCCCTTCTCAGGCACAAGAAGCGGGGCGGGGTTGGGGGGTGGGGTGGGCTGTTAGCAGCCCCATGAGGTGTCAGGTTTCAAAATCCAGAGCAGAAGGTGAGGGGGGAGTTTGTCTGGCTATTCTGAAGAACTTTACACTTTGGCTTGGGATCCAGGGGTTTCCTTCTCCCTCTGGAGTCTTTGATGACGCCATCACCCCCGGTCCCCAGCCCTTGGATAGCTCATGCTTACCAGTATTCCCATGGTGGGGGAAGGTGTGCCTAAATTATGTGTGCTCCGCCCCTGTCTCTCAAACCTACCAACTTCCCTGGCTTCGTAATCAACTGAGCTGGTTAATCATGGTTTAAGGTGGGAAATTCGGAGAGAGGGAGCGCGGGACGGTAGACAGTGGGAAAAATTCCACCTGGTGGTGAGCTATCCCGACAGGTGTGTGTGTGTGTGTGTGTGCGCGCGCGCGCGCACACACACACACACACACACACACACACACACACAAATATCTCACTTTTCCTCTAGCCCCAGAGCTCTTTCTACCGCCCTTCTGTCGGTCCCATGGTTTCCTCAGAGAGACCTGGGCCTGGGAACTGAAATGCTAGGATCGCTCGGGTTAAGGCTCTGAGTTTTACTTCTCGGTTCCCAGGAGGCACGCAGCGGGGACTGGCTGATGGAATCCTCTGTATAAAGAGGTTAATGCGGAGTCGGGGGTGGGGATGACGTGGATACTGCCTCCCTCAGGTCTCCACTGACGTCTCCCTTCCCCATCCCCAGGCTTCTAGCTTCTCGATCCTCCCAATGTCCCTTTCCTACTCCCTCTAACGGCTTTCCAGCTTCCTCTCCAGCCCCCGCAGTTCCCTTGGTCCCACAAATTGCAATCCGAAGAAAAAGCCCTAACGTGTTCTCCCGCCCCACCTCCCCAGTCCCATTGGTTCCCTCCCCCGCCTGCAGCACCTGGCCCCCCCAGCCATTCAATTGGCCCGCGGCCCCATCAATCCTCGCCTGGCTGTGCTGACGTCATCCTGCAGTAGAGGGGATGGGGTGGGAATGAGAGAGAGAGCGAGGACGCCGGGCTGGTGAGCGAACGAGAAGCCACAGCAAGTCCCTCACCTCAACCATCCAGGTTGGGGGCTGCCCAGGTCTGCCCTATGGACTAGCGTGGGCAGCAGGCTCCTTCTGCCTCTGCCCTGCTGCCCGCTCCCTCCCCTCGCCTCCTTGAAGAGCCCCTGCATCCCCACCCCCAGGGTGGAATAAACCGGCTTCGGGCTCCCAGGGGAGAGCAATCGCCTGGCCCTGCCCTGCCCCACACGACACCATACCATGACCCTCTTGCTGCTGCCCCTTTTGCTGGCCTCCCTACTCCCCTCCAGCTCCTGTAACAAAGGTGAGTGAAGTGCGGGATGGGGGCGCCGAAAGAGGAGTATCAGGCAGAGCGATGTGGGGTAGGGGTGGGCAGGAGCAGTTGAGGCTCTCTGGCACATGATAGGTGTGTTCTTCCGACCATCCCCCTTCCTATCTGTTTTCTCAGACCTGTCCCTTCTCCTCTCCCTGGAACCCCCTTTGCCACATCCTCCTGTCTGATCCATCTCTACCCATGTGCTTCTTTTGCTCCCCTTTGGTCCCCATTCCCATCCTGGGATCTCTGTCGCCCCCTCCCCCAATTTCTCCCTGCTGGAGGTATCTCAGGTCTTAGAAGGACTTGCCCTGAGGGGTGATACACATCGCCGAGTGGCTCTCCGTTTTCACTGGGATGTGCCTGCACTAAGGTTGTGTGGCAGATCCATCTGGTTCATCTCCATCCCTTCCTGGGGAGGAACTGTTCCTTGTAGCTCAGCGATTCGGAGCACGTATGTTTTGGCGTGTTTCTCTGCATCCATACCCTTATGCCTGCATGCAGCTGGGCTGTGGGTTACCAGAGCTGCCCTCTCTGGCAGAAAGCAGATAAATTCAGCTGGGTGAGGCCGTCAGAGGGACCAAGAGGGAGGAAGAGAGGGAGGGGGTGGGGGAAGAGGACTCAGGTAGGTGGAGAAAGGCAGGAAAGGGCAGAAGTGGGTGTGTGGGGGGAGCGAAATGAGTGGTGAAAGGGAAAGCTGAGAACGAGAAGGGAGATGAGGCATGGGAGGAGGATGAGAAGGGGTTGGAAAAGGGTAAAGGTGGAGGCAAAAAAAAAAGAAAAAGAAGGAATGAAAGGGAAATCAGGAAGAACAGAAGAGCGGAGTGGGAGGAGGAGAGTCAAGGAAGGAGGAGACAGGGAGCCTAGGAAGATAGATGGGCACAAGGAGGGAGTCAGGGGCCAAGAGGAGAGGAGCAGAGTCAGGGGTGAGCCATGCAGAGGGTGCCCAGCGCTGGCCTTGCTGTGCACCTCCCCTCCAACCTCAAGCCTGGCTTCTGAGCCTTCTGCCACTTCCTGTGCTGCCTTCTGAGCACCATCTTGAGGCTTTCTCCTCTGCCACTAGAGATGGGGGTGATGGTGGTCATCAGCCAGAAAGGCAGGCTTTCAGATACCAGAAGGCTCTTTGGGGTGGGGTTGGAGGAGAGAATGGAAATCAAGATTTATGGCTTGGTGTGACATAGTGGAGACCAGTTTCCTTTGGCGACATCCTTTTGGACGATGTGTTCCTCTCCTCATGTCCCACTGATAGGCCATTGTGAATGTGCTTTGGGAGCCTTGGGGTTGGCGTGATGAGATTAGATAGAGCGGCAGTGGAGGTTGGGTTGGGGGTGACATAGAAGGGGAAGGGAACACGCTGTGCCTTCCCCCACAGCCTCTTACTAGGCTAGTGGGAGACTCGTCCTGGGAGGAGACACAGTTGGGCTGAGTCTGGTAGGAGATGGGGAGATCTAGAGGCTGAGTGAGTCCCACATCAATCCATAATTGGCTGGTAGTTGAAAGGGAGTCGGGGCGGGGGGGTAGGCAAGAATTGGGACTAAGTCATGAGTCTGTATAAAACATGGGGTCAGGGAGTTTGGGGTTTGGTGGCCTTGGGGACATAGAAATGTGCTGGTTATGATGAGCGTGTTCTCTCGGCTGTGGGGGTGAAAAGCAGGAAAGGGATTTGTCGTGTTTCTAGGCCAGCTCCATAATCCCTTAGGATGTTGGCTCTGCTGGGTCCAGTTATTTGGCATTGATTCCTCTGCTCCATCCCTGCCCTTCTATGCCTCCTCCCTCTGTCCTATATATTTTCTCTTCTCTCATGTTTCCTCCTCCCTTTACGCTGGGAGAATGGCCTTACGTTGGGTCTTGGCTGGGTGAAGTGCAGAGTGAAGGGATCAGGATTGAAATGGGGTAGTGCTGCGGGTGGTGGAGAGGATAACAATAAGGAAACTTCTAGATCTTTTCCTAATCTCAACTCTGCCCTTAATCTATCCCTTCCCTTTCCCAAGGCCTTCTGATGGCCTATCATTGTTTCCTAAATCCCTAGTCTTCACTCCCCAACACTTGAAATCCCTAAAGAAAATTCTCTACCCTATGACCATGTTTCCCAGGGGAGATTGGAGTCCCCCTCTCCCCAGGGCAGTCTGTTGCCATGGGAACATTCTATCCTACCATAGAAAAAGGCAGTGACCTTCCTCAGACCCTCTGATTCCTTTAACAGCTGATTTCTTGACCTCAGTTCTTCCTCCGGTAGGTGCTTCTGCAGGTGTGGGGAGGGTGGTGATACTGGAATGTGAGTTTGTCTGGGTCAACTAGAGTTGTGTGGGAGTGGAGGGCCCAGCTCACAGGCACTTCCTCTCCTCCCCCTGGGGGATGTCAGCCAATAAGCACAAGCCATGGATCGAGGCGGAATACCAGGGCATCGTCATGGAGAACGACAACAAACCACCACCACTCTTCGCCTTGGACAAGGATGCTCCCTTGCGCTATGCAGGTAATTGAGGTTGGTGGATGGTAAGGTGGGCGGGACAGAGAAAAGTATTTGAAAGAGTAATGAAGAAGTGGGGAAGAGGCTTGGAAAGTGGAAGGAGTAGGCTCAAGGAGCTGAATGGGCTACATTGAAGCTGGTGGTTGAGTAAAGGGAGTCAGAGAGAAGGACATGGGCAGATAGGGGCAAGACACAAGGTATGCCAGCTCTCAGACCTGATGGCTCTGAGAAGTTGCTGCTCAGAAACCTGGCATTGGAGCTCTATGCTTGATAATTATTACTTTCACGTGCACAAAGAAGGGAAAGGGGTTTGGGAGGCGAGGTGAAGCGGGAACTCTGGGTGGGGAGGCAGAGGCCAGAAGGAGATGCTGGAGGTGGTGCATGAGCCTCACCCTTCCTTCCGCCCTGGGCCAGGTGAGATCTGTGGCTTCCGGCTCCATGGGTCTGGTGTGCCCTTTGAGGCTGTGATCCTGGACAAGGCAACAGGAGAAGGGCTGATCCGGGCCAAGGAGCCAGTGGACTGCGAGGCCCAGAAAGAGCA